CCTCAAGTCCTCAGAACACCCCTTGCTGAAGAAAATTGATGACTTATCTTTGTTAATACGTTGTCCCGATGCATCACAATATCTCTGAAGCAAAACATTGACCTCTGTTGCCATCTCTGGTGTAGCGTCAAAAAAGAGCAAGCTGTCATCAGCAAAGAGGAGGTGATTAACAATTGGAGCATCTGTAGCTACCTGAATGCCATGTATACTCTCCCCTGGGACCGAAGATTTCAACAAAGATGAGAGGCCTTCTGCCGCCAACAGAAAAAGATAGGGCGAATTGGGGTCACCATGTCGTAAGCCTTGGGTTGGCTTGAATTCCTCTGACTTACCTCCATTAAACATGACTGAAAAAGAAACAGAAGTAACACACCTCATGATAGTTTCGGTGAACCGAGGACTGAAACCTAGTTTCAACATTACTGCCTTCAAATATGGCCACTCGATTCTGTCATAGGCCTTCATCATATCGAGTTTTAGAGCACAGAATATGTTTCCCTTCAACTTCCTTGTTTTCATATAGTGTAAGCACTCATAAGCGGAGATGAAATTGTCGGTGATTAGACGACCCGGTACAAATGCCGATTGTTCCTCTAAAATGATGTCGGGGAGAATGAGTTTGAGCCGGTTAGCCAATACCTTTGAAGCAATCTTGAAGATCACATTGCATAGGCTTATCGGTCGGAACTGTGCTAAATTTTTTGGACTAACAATCTTGGGAATGAGAATGATGAAAGTTTTGTTTATCTCCTCCGGTGAATCATCTCCACTCAGAACACGCAGCACCATATCGGTTACCTCCTCACCACATAATTCCCAGTGACGTTGAAAAAAGTGAGCGGGAAAGCCATCGGGCCCCGGGGCCTTTGTCGGGAACATTTGGAAGAGTGCAGACTTCACCTCTTCCTTGGTATAAGGGGCGTTCAACATACTATTCATTTGGCCATTCACTTTAACCGGTATGTGAGAGAGAACCTCTTCCATTCCAATGGTATTTTCCGAAGCATATAAATCCTTGTAGAAGCTAGTTGCCATCGCTGCCATCTCCTCCTGATCAGACGTCATAGATCCATCAGCTCGCTGGAGCTCCAAAATGTGATTCTTGGCTTTCCTTGCACTAGCTTTTTTGTGGAAAACTTTAGTGTTGCTGTCCCCTTCAGCGAGCCATTGTATACGGGCCCTTTGACGCCACATGATTTCTTCCCGACAACACAGCTCGACCATTCGAGCTTCAACTTCCTCCTCTTCCGTGCTTGGTCCGATGCGCATAGGTGTCGCTCTCAATTCCTCAAGCCTCTTGCGGAGCTGTCTGAGTTCAGATCGAACGGAACCAAAAGTGTAACGCCCCCACTTTTGTAGGTCTGTCGCTAAACTCGCTAGCTTCTCTGAAAAATCAGAAACTGACTGAGCCCTTGCTTTGGCTTTCCATGCATTCTCCAGAATAGACCCAAACCGACCATCCCGTTCCCACATGCATTCATACCGGAAGGGTCGCTGGGCTGCCCGAACACTCTCACTGACTAAGTCAGTCGCCAATAGGATTGGGGAGTGGTCGGACTTGACTGCCGTGAGATGCTCTACACTGGCAAATGGAAATAGGGCGGACCAAGAAGCTGACGCAAGTGCCCTGTCGAGGCGAACTCGACAGTAATGACCTCCAGAAACTTTCTTCTCCCACGTCCAGTCCAGCCCCTTATAGCCCAAGTCCGCAAGGGCACATAAATCAGTTGCCTCACGGAAAGCCTCCATCTGCGCACTATCTCTCTCATGTACTCCCATCTGCTCTTCTTTCCTGAGAATTTCATTAAAGTCCCCAATACACAGCCACGGTAGAGTGCTTTCGCCTCTCAAATGCTTCATCATATCCCACGTCTTATAGCGGAGGCTTCTATTTGCTTCACCATAGAAACACGAGAGCCGCCATTGTTCCTTCAATGGTTCCTTAACCCATGCATCCACATGATACCGAGAAAAGTTTTTTATTGAGACATCTAAAGAATTTTTCCAAAAGATACATATGCCGCCACTGCGGCCAGAACTACCAACTCCAAAACTGAAATCAAAACCTAACGAAAAACGAAGACCTTCAACACGATTCTTCGGCAGTTGAGTTTCAACTAAGCAAAGAATCACCGGCGAACTCCTCTCCACAAGATCGCGGAGTTCTCTGACCGTCGCGGGGTCACCAATCCCGTGGCGGTTCCAGCATAGTATTTTCATTGGGCCTGGCGGCGCCCCGGCTCGGAGCCCGCCAATAACGCCATCTTCTTATCCTTCGTCGGTGAGGAACCTTTCTTAGCTTTCTTCGATTCCCTTGGAGACACATACACCGGTGGAGGCGGTGGTGTATCAGACTCACTAATAGGTATAGCACTTGCAGCTCCCTTCTGTGCCAAAACTAGCGCTTGGCTTTGATCAGTGATGATTGGGTTCGTCCCTGTGTTACTTGTCTCTTCAGGCATGTTGCTACTAGCAGTAAGAACATCATTCAGGTTACGCCGTGCCACTGGCTCCTCACTAGACGAGCTAAGGCCAGCAGGAGGTTTCAGAGGGCTAGTCACATCAGCATCTATATCATCTCCATCTTCAAAGCCAGCCTCCTGGGATGACCTTTTGTGCGGACCCTCCTGGTTACATGGTGGGGCTCTGCCACGCCCAGTCCCGGCTCTGCCTCGGCCCCGGGACCAGCCCCCTTGAGTGGAACGACCATACTGCTGTTGATTAGGGGCCACCTCCTTGCGTTGGGCGAGCATCCAGCTTCCAAACTGCCGCTGTTTTGGTTCCCACACCCCGTCTCCGCATTCTTCATGGTTGTGCCCCATGAAACCGCATACCTGGCAAAAGTAAGGGATCTTCTCGTATTTGACTGGGAGGAAGCGACGCCCCTCATCCGTGACATTCAGTGGCGTAACTCTGGTCAAGGGCTTGTTAACCAGCACCCTTGCGCGAACTCTGACATAATCTCCCTCATAGTAGAGCTTTGGAGCGAGTACCACCTCCTTAACTCTGCCAATGCGTCGAGCGAGTTGATCCACAATTTCTGTTTTACGATACAGATCAGGGATATTATGGATTTGTGACCAAACATACAGACCATCAAAGACCACTGATTCCGGGTCTGTCTTGCCATCGTAATCCTCGATCAAAAGCCCCATCCCCTTGAACAGCCATGGGCCGCCATGGACGACCTTCTTCCAGTCTCCCAAACAGAACATCTGGAACACAAACAAATTGTCGCCTGCCTCTCTGAACTTCGGCACCTGCGCTAGCCCCCAGATCGATTTCAGTGTCTCAAACATAGCGGTGGAACTAAAGCGGCGCGTCGTGTTCAGCTTCCCAATTGCCATCCACCGTGCCTCTGCCTCAAATTTCCTCAACTCCTCCTCGCCTACGACCACGTCATCCAACTCCTCGTCCTTCAGATCGAGGTGCTGCAGCATCTCCTCCAAGTTCCTTCCGGTCCAGCCGGTCGTCGATGAGGATCCTTCCGGAGTCGCCATCTAGGGTTAGGCCAAGTAGAACCCCGCGTGGAAAAAAGAAGGCTCCGATCCTAAAGTCCCAGCAGCAGACCAGGGAGGTGTGCGCTAGCAGGAGGAGGACCGGCAGCCGGGGAAAAAACTCACAACGGCGATGGGATCGCCGTCGGAGGACGAGAAACCCTCGCATCATGTTTCTTTTTTGAGAATGAGAATTGGCGGCGGGCCATTCCCAAGGCGAAGCAGGGTGCCAGGCACCCAGGGCCACTAGGCCCAGGGCGTAGGATTATTTTAGCGCAGCCAAGGCCCAGTTCCCAGCCCAAACACACACAACGTATCCCAGCCCAAACGCCACGAGCTCTACGACGCACGCTTCCCTCAATCAAAAAAAGAAAAAGAAAAACCTAACGCACGGAGGCTGAACGGACGCACGCACTCCGGCGCCGCCTCCCCGTTCCCGGCCTCCCCCCCGCGCTCAGTGGCCGTGCCCCTTGCATCCTGGCCGTGCTGCACTGCTTCTGCGTTGCGCCGTGCGCCCCTGCTGGCTCCGGCCAGCCGGCCTTCCCCCGCGGCGGCGACGAGCAGAGCAGCCGACGAGGCGACGAAGGACTCTTCCGCTGCGCCCCGGGCCCGTGATTCTGCCGCCGCCGGCTCTGTGTGACCTGCCGCTGGCTACTGCCGCCGCCGCGCCCTTAGTCTCGCTGGTAATTTGGTCTTGTTGAATTGGTGTATGAATTCTCTGATTGTCACAGTGAATAGATGATTTAAATGTTGGACTGGAACTCGAATTGATTCATTTTGCAGAAATAGAAATTGGTGTATGCATTGTCTGATTGTCACCATAGATGATTTGTAGCTTTGTCATGTTTTATCTCTTTTGTTAGATTGTTAAGCATTGAGATTAAATTCTAGATTTATTGAGCAACTGGGCTTTATTTCCCATGGGGCATTTCTGGGGTGTCATAAGTGCCAAAGTTTTTCAATGTTGACAGAAAATAAATTTGGCCCGGGGTTTGCTTCAATCCTGACAACGCCACTGGCCATTCCTACAGTGCCGGCGACGAGCGGCGGAGCAGGAGGAGGCGCCCGGCGACTCGGATGAGATGAACTGCACTGGAAATTTTCAGTCCGATACTGCTAACTGACCAGGGAAATGACTGGTCTGTGAACTTCGGCTCAATAGAGTTGAGAGCCACTAGTGAGTAGAGAGTGTATACTATACAGTAGAGGACTAGTTATTGTTGTGTGTGTTTGCAGAGTTTATGATTCAAAATATTACACAAGTACTATCTGCCCTGCCCCAAATTGTTTCTTTCTGACCAGATATCACAGAAATAAACAAACAGTTTCAGTGATTTCATTTCATTCAAACTAACTTCAGATAAGCCATCAAAGAAGTGGGCAAGCATTTTTAGAAAAGAGAGCAAATGCGCACAACTTAAGGGAATATGGGTCTCCTTTTGGCGAAAGCATCAATTCCCCCAGTAGTCTCTTAATCAGTTCGGATGCTACTGTACGTGAAGGATGTTCGTTCTGAGCCAGATTGAGCACAACCTGCCAATGCCTCCACACTTGCTGAATCGCCCTCTTGTCGACGCCATCAAGGCCGAGCTCGAGAGGCTCTTCCTGGATAAGGTAGTGTGAACTTGGGTCACATAATCATCACTACATGCCAAGATTTTGTTCACAATACCAGAATTCTTTACCACCCAATGGTTCTTAAATGTATTTCTAAATCTATGTTTGGAATTGCACTGAGGTGGTTGCAAATCTCGGGCTCTGCGTATCCGTCTATGACATCCTTTCCGTTGAAGGCGGATTCATCTTTCCAGGAGAGAGCTGCTCGACGTATAAAGTAATTTGTGCTATCATTTTTGTCATCCATTTATGTTTATTAAAGAATGGGAGATGTTACTACTTGCTAATTCTGTATGTTGTTTAGTATATGCTCTGTAAGCTCTGTCAAGATCAATGCCTAAAAGGGTGACTACATTGCTTTTCCACGCCCTTCTGTTTGTGCAGTTGAGTTGGATACCTGAAGTTCCAGTATGTTTAAGTTCTTTCCTGTGCAGTTTCTCACTGTTGCATGTAACCCCAGAGCCTTCTTAGTAGTGCCTAGCATATGATTGATGTGCTTGCATAGAACTAAAAGTTTTGGGATTGATATGGTAAGTTTGTCACCTGGGTAGTTTGTCTCTTAGACACTAAACTGTTTAATATTAGTTTTAAACAACTACAACTTTGAATAGCAGTAGTTCCCCTCAATTTTTACTTATTTAGCCGACTACTTGGTGCCAAGATCCAGTTTGCCTTGCTGTTAGTTAATGCTGATTATTTCTCTGGCTCAAGTCGGTAGTCTTGTTGTTTCCTAGCCGGTGTGCTACTTCTTTTGAACGACTCACTGTAAATAGTATGTGAAATTTGTACCATGGTTGCACTTCTCATGTCGCTGTTAGCACAAACTTTATGATCTCGTAATCCGAGGCTTTATACATTTTATAAATCATGCTTAGATTCCCTTCATTTTCCTCATTTTGGACAGGTTTTCTTTAGGTTATTGATGTTCAGGCCCTTTCTTGGGGTGGTTATTGTTGGGAAAATCAGTGGATATGATGAGGAGGGTTTACAAGGTGACTTTGTTATTTTCTCGTTGGCTTTTTGTTTGCTAATTGATTTTCAACCTTCTGTAATCCCTTGCTTGAATTCATGCGTACTTATTGTATCGTGTCTTCAATTTTCATAACATATTGCACTGCTGGCAAACTTTTCATAATTTCATCATGATATATCCATTCTGA